TTCAAAATGTGTAGTAACCATTTAAACATATACTGATTTTTTAACATTTGCAATACATCCTTTTTTTCTGGTACTATATAGAATCTTAACTCATTAAATTAGGAGTTTTACATTTTTATAAATTTGGTCCAAACCTATTATTACCAGGGCCATCAAGGAGGTTTGGTCTCAAGGAGGGTGAAGGAGAAGTTATCTGTGCAGCCACTGCTTCCAATTTAGTTAGTCACAGGGGACAGGTCAGACTTTCCAGGCTGAATGAGTGACCTAGAATTTGTCCCACGTAACTGGCTACACAGATCATTTTGCCCATCAAATGAGAAGACCATCTAACCATTATCTTGACATTTTAAGATGGTACTTTACCTCTAACACAGCATAATTTTAATAAGTTACAGATTTATAATGTATGACAAAATTTTTAATTTCCAAGCATAACGAATTCATCTTTTAGAAGTTACATAAAATTTCCATCTCCTTGAAACCTCCTCTTTCTCCTCACCAGCTGCTCATCCATCAAGGGCCAGCCTTCATTTTACATATTTGACCCTTTTCTGTCATAGTGTGAAGTCAGAACTTCCTTTCGAGGCAAAGAGAAATGGCAGCAATTCAGCAAACTGATCAGGAAAAAGATGTTCAGTCATTACAGGTGATTTTAATCATTAAATGGCAGTCCAGCACTGCCATCACTGCAGAGCGTTTCACTCCTCACTCAGCTCTGGGGAAGGGCGTCAGCTGGCAGGCTGTCGGGGAGGCCGGGACGTCCCTGAGGCCAGCTGAGCTGGGCTGCACTGGTGTGCAGAAGGCTCGTGTGTGGCTCTCCCTCCCGCAGGCGCTGCGCGTCCCTCCTGTTCTCAGGCCAGGGCACGTGCAGCCCCGGCAGTGCGGCAGCACCAGGACCGAGGGGAACTAACTTCACAGTGTGAATCTGAACGTGGTGCCACATTCTTCATCAGTCTTTTCTTGAGCATTGCGACAAAGCGACCTAAAGATGTGGATGGACGCATCCATTTTTGTAAAGTAAAATACCATTGGGATTCACAATTTATTGAAATTTAGTAAAAGCCATTTCCAAAGAATGTGAATCCTGGAATGTGAGGCCATGAATTAATCAGCCCGTCTTAAAAGACGTACTATGGCCTAAAGTACTTTGAACGTAGTCCTTCAACACCAAAATGTTCTAGTTTTTCCTGCTGTCCTCTAGTCTTCAAGGAATCCTCTCGTGTTTGTAAATTAAATTGTAATATTTATGTTGTAAGTTCCATTCACATGAGCTGCTTTTGCTCCATAACCAGTGACACAGAACTGTTTCATTTTAATGTGCCCCTTGATGCCAGTAAAAGCAGCAGACAGTGGTATTTAATACACACGCACTTCAACTTCCACATGAAATGTTTAACCACACAATTTTTAAAAAGTCAGGTGTCCTTTATACCAGCTACCTTGGAAGTAGGAATACTCTTTCTCACCACTTTGTCATTGTGTTAATTAAGCATTTTTTTAATTTCTCCTTTGTAATCACCTTAATATCCAATTGTAAGCCACGCAGGGGATCAATCTTCTTGCTTTATAATCCCATCTAGGATGGCATACAAAAATAGCATAGCATTGCCCCACTGGATCTCTTACTTTATAAGCCAGATTTGGCTCTACTGACTTTAGACTCTCTAAAAATTGCTTTTTCTCTCACTCACTAGTAGCAGCTGTCACCACTGGGTGAGAATATGGGGGGAGGGGTGCAGAGCCAGGACAGCTTTGTTAGAATGTCCAGTCCCTCAAGGTGACCACCTGGTGGAGACAGCACTAACTTGGATCTCCTAAGAAGAACATACTTTTACATAGTCCTCAGGGTAGTTTTCCTTCCCTAATCCCCACACCTTCCAATTCAAGGGCAATTTATAAATTTTAATTTCTTGAGCTGCTTATTTTAAGTTCACTTTTCAGAGACGCAACAAGAGCTAATGTCGTCCTTCTAAGCTGTAAAACGTTGGTGTACATTTTTCGGGACCATGATGTGTAATGATTAGTGATTCCTGTTGTTTGTTTCCTGTAGCCTTAACTCCTTATTTAAACTCACCAACAACTGAATCTGTAATGAATACAAACCTGGCAGAACTATGCTTTTCGAACAGAAAAAGAAGAGACAGCAAACTGCAGCTTGTGCCTGGGGCAGGGGCCCGGGGGCGAGACGTAGACCACAGCTGCATCTTTGGGTCAGCAGCCCTTCGGGGATGATCAGGGAAGTGTGAACACGGAGCCTGCCTTATGCGACGGTGCCTGTCCCATCCCTCACCCTGCAGTGATCTCGTTTAGAAAACCCTCCGACTCGGGTCTTCCTTCTGGCCTCCGCGTGACAGCTGTCTGCATCCGTCGGGGGGTGGGGGGAACGCCACCGCTCCAGAGACGCCTAACCCACAGCGAGCCGCAGGTGTTTCCGAGGATAAACGTCAGTCCCGGGTCACAGCCACACCCGAGGCCTTAGCCACTCAGTTCTCTGTCCTGGATTGTGTTCATTCTTTCTTTAATAGAACAAGAGGTAACTTCTGGCATGGTTTTCTGATCCTTGTCCATTTCACACAGACACAGGACAGGATATGATTCGATCCTCTAACATCACGCTGATGACGAGGAACACAAAGTACAGGAGGAACATGGTGAAGCCCAGGATCTTGTTCATCCTCCATTTGCATAATGCGATTGAGGAGATCACAAACAGGAGCATGAGAAAAAGCAACACAATTGCACAAAACAAGCCATTGCTGCTGACCGGGACAGGCTGCAGTCCGCTGATAAGAGAGAAAAGCATCCACGGAAGGGGCAGGCTGCAAGGCGGAAGAAACAATGTCAGTGTTCTTCACGGTGATAATAATTCCATGCACTTCACAGTGTTTTACAATTTTCAAAGCACTTATTTTTACACATACACACAAACCTATGAAGCAGAGCAGAAAATATCAGCTCCATTTCACACGTGAGGCAACTAAGGTTCAAGGAAATTAAATTACATGCCCGAGGACTCACAGCTAGTAGCTGGGAGAGCCCAGATTGAAACTGAGGTTTTCTGGGGCTGAGTTTGGTTCCTTCACACTTCATGACTCCGGTGTGACTAACCCAAGTTGGTAGATGTGTGACAGTGTGACCTCTCCATCAGTTATTATAAGGCCTAGCTGAGGGTAACATTTCTTTCAATTCTGTACTAATCAGGGCCCTCCTGTGCACTTTTACCTACTGCACCCAGAAAACACACACATAGACAAATTCAAATTAAAGAAACCAAAGCCACCACCCAAATCCAGGACATGACTGGGGAAATGAAAATAGGGCAGGTGCTCTGCTCTGAAGATGGGAGGAGAGGGTAAGGGAATCTGTGCAGGGGGATGTGGCATTTGCGTGTTTATACAAAATGCTTTTAGAGACTCTGGGCTGGCAGGAATCCCAATGCAAAGGAGCAGGAATATCAGGAAGTGAGAGTGAGTCACTGCTCCGTCCAGCCCCACCTCCACCACCTTGGAGGTCAGTTGAGCAAAGCACTTGACTGCATTTTGTAGTGGAATTTAATGGACTTCATTCTTCAACTCACCTGTGAATTCCAGTCAGTTACATTTCACACAGCATTTCAGTTCTGTTATCCTATCTGGCTGTGGTGAATGAAGGGAGGGTACTTCATGGCCTTGCAGAAACTCGTATCAGTGCCCTTTTATGCCACGTGTAACGAATGCAGCAGGAACCCAGCACACACAGCCAACACTGTTTTCCAGTCGTACTTAATGTGCCTTAGAAAGCAACTTTGCCACTCACCCCACGGTGATGTCAAATATGTTACTGCCCACAGAGCTGGACACGGCCATGTCTCCCAGGCCTTTCCGAGCGACGATCACGCTGGTGATGAGGTCGGGGATTGACGTGCCTGCCGCTAGGATTGTCAGACCCATAATCTCTTCAGAAATCCCTATTGTTTCACCAACCTGGTAAACAGTAACAGCAGTGAGAAACCTGGAAGCAGCAGGTGAAAAACGTGAGGCTCTTCAAAGCACCAACCACATACTACTTTGTGCAAAGCCAACACCTTCCAGGGAGCTGACACTCCCTGGGCCTGAGTGAGGAAGGATCACAGCAGAACTAACGCCCTGGGTGGGGGGTGGGGGGCACGGAGAAGAAAGAATAAAGAATAGGGCCCCTGCTCAAGGCGTCAGTGAATGACACCGCTCTTCTCTAAACGGGACTAAAAGCCCACCTATGACACCACCTGCTGTCATTCCAACTACAGCGCCTCTGCTTTCCCCAAAGAACTGCCCCTCCAAAGGCCTGTTCACGTCACACGTCCATTTCCAGAACCATGCGCACCTATAACGCCAGCAACTTTTTAGAGGCTGGAGGCAGAAGGATGAGCAGTGCAACACTGGCCTGCTCTCCGCTTAGTGAAAGAGAAAAGCCTGTCAGCGGCAGCCGCAGTTCCGTCAGCACAGAGCAGCAAAGTGCTCCCGGTAGAGCAGGAAACCCGTGGGCACTCGGAGACGGAATAAGGGCCCGAGAGGAGGCAAAACTGATGTCATCAGATGGAGAGAAGGGGGGCCAGAGAAAGCTGGGAATGAAGCTAAAAATGTTCAGCTGGATCAGGTTGTGAAGGGCCTCCTGTCAGGCTACAGTGTGAATACTTTACAAAGCAGAAGAGTCACACTCACGGGGGGAGGGTGTAGCTCAGTGGCAGCGTGCCTGCCTAGCATGTGCAAGGTCCTGGGTTCAATCCCCAATACCTCCATTAAATAAGTAAATAAATCTAATTACCACCCTCTCCAAAGAAAAAACCAAGAAGTACTACATTCATTGGAATGTAAAGTCTACTTTTAAGCCTTTACAAACAATGTATAAACTACAAATTCACTTGGTCCTCACCATTGCCTGGGTACTGGAAATTCTTCCTGAAGGAAAAGCTCTTTTGACCCACAGATGCAGGATTTGGTTCCCGCTGCACACTCACCTGGTGAGCCCACCACACCATGAGGTATGAGAACATGGCTATCCACACGATGGATCCCAGGAAGGTGATAACAAAAAACTTCCTAGCCTCCTGTTGGAAAGTTGGAAAAGGAAGAGAAATAAGTTTTGGAGGCTAAAGGTCTTTGGCCCTTCTGAGGGAGCCTCAAGATCAGTGACGAGATGCTTGGAGGAGTGATGGAGAGGATCTGGAGATGTTTGAGCTGAGATCTCTTTCTCCAGTGAGGACCGTGAGATGTCTGGAGAAGGATGAGGTTGGTCCCATAGGGGCATCCAGACAGTAGGGGGTTCAGCAGGTGCCAAACGAAAGAGACCTATTTGCCCTAAAACCAGACCAATATAGGTGTTTGGTTTGGCTTTTGAAACCTCTCCCCACCCTGCCCCTCTGCTGACCAGGAGACAGAATATGGTCCCCCTTTGGGTGGAGTATGTTAGTCAGATCTTTCCTGATAAATAGGAATGCTGGCACTTACTACGCTAGTTTCTCACAATATCCCTGTGAAATATGGAGGGGGTGTAGTGGCAGCATTCCCCATATTAAAATCAAGAAGCTGAGACAGAATTCAAGGAGGGATGAGTTCACATTGCTTACAGTGGATGTTACGAAATAAGCACATTCTAGGGCCTCCCAAACCTATCCATGTGTCCCTCCAGGGGCGTGGTCCCCTCCGGGGCTGCATATTCCGTCTCAGACCCTCTCTGCTGTGGAGCCCTGCCACGCTGACTTGTCCTGTCCCTTCCCACCTCCAGCGGGAGTGCCTGGAGACCCCACAGCCTCCCGCGGGATACACGGCAGGGCAAACTCACCAGCCTCCGGACGTCGGGCACCGTCAGCCACAGCGGGAACACAATGGGCAGGAGAAAGAGGTAAATAGCCTGCTTCTGCCTGGTCTTAGGCCATTCCAGTGACAAAGGCTTCTCATTTTCCTCCTCCTCCTCCTCTTCTTCCTCCTCCTCTTCCTCTTCCTCCTCATCCTCCTCATCCTCTTCCTCCTCCCCCTTGTCTTCACTGTCACCTCCATCGCCTCCCTCTTCATCATTTATACCTTTCTCATCCTCTTCAGCTCCACCTTGATTTTCAGCATTGAATTCCTGCTCTCCAGTTTCACCTTTCATTTCACCATCTTCTCCTGTTTGGACTTCACCTTCATCATCTCCTTTCGTTTCTGCTTGGATGTCACGTTCACCTTCATCTTCCTCTCTTCCCTCTGCTTCACCTTCGTCATCTCCTTTTGTTTCTGCTTGGATGTCACGTTCACCTTCATCCTCCTCTTTTCCTTCTGCTTCGACTTCACCTTCACCTTCATCCTCCTCTCTTCCCTCTGCTTCATCTTCACCTTCATCATCTCCTTTCCTTTCTGCTTGTATGTCACCTTCACCTTCATCCTCCTCTTTTCCCTCTGCTTCAACTTCACCTTCACCTTCGTCATCTCCTTTCCTTTCTGCTTGGATGCCACGTTCACCATCATCCTCCTCTTTTCCTTCTGCTTCGACTTCACCTTCGCCTTCTAGTCGAGCATCACCTCCACTCTGCTCTCCATTTTCACCCGCAGGAGCTTCAGCCTCATCACCTGCCCTTTCACCTGTGCTCTCAGCTCCAGCCGTATCTCCTCCCTGCAGCCCAAACCAACAGATTCATGTGTAATAACTGCTCTGCTCCTTTCCTTCTCAGATTCCCCCCAGCGTTTTTCGCTCGAGTACGAGGAGGAAACCAGTGCATTCAGCAAAACTCCCTTCACAACACTCCCACCCTGTGGTTGTCTGGTCTTTATTGGATCATTTCTAGGGACAGGAGTACTCACCCCCTAAAGCAGTTTCTGTCATCTTGACAACTCTGGTATGAAGGCCATATTCATACCAAGGTTCTGCTCCCTGTGTATAGACAGGTTTACTCTTTGGAGCCACACAGAACAAGGCTAATCACTCTCCCACGAGACAGCTCTCTTCCCTGGGTTAGACCCCTAGGTCCTTCCATCGCTCCCCGTACTGTGGCCCAGAGCCTCCTTCCCTTCTTGGTGAACTCATTCTAACTAGCTTATACCCCACAAGGAGGTCTCTAAAGCAACACAGAACACCTCACAGAGTCTTAGACAGTGTGCGTCCATTAATGTTGCCTAATATTTTTTTTGGTGGTCACTTCACATTGCTAAGTCCACTAAACCCCTTAACTCTTGTGCTATCTTATATGTATCAAAGAATGATGGCAATGATACCTATTTATTGAGGATTTTCATGTACCAGGCGTCATGCTAAGTGGCGTAATAATAACAGCAACAACAACAACTAGCACTTACTATGTGTCATGAGTCAATTAACTTATGATTATATGTAGAGCTAAACCTATCTGGCAGATGAAGAAACTAGGGTACAGAGGAGTCAAATAATTTGCCCGTGGTCCACACAGTTTGTAAATGATGAAGCTGCCATTTGAATATGGTTAAAACTCCAACTCGTAACCACCAAGATACCCTGCTTTGCAAATACTGGGGCCAAATGATATCTTTGGTTCCCAGACCTGGTGGTCTGGGGAGCTTATTAGAAATACAGATTTCCTTGCCCCACTTGGACCAACTGAAGTAGAATCTCTAGGACTGGAGCCAGGGATCTGGTTTGATATGCCCACTGCACCTGCAGACCAGTGTCTGGGAACCACGGACTGACTCCACGCACTCTAACAGCCATTGATTCTGAGGGTCCTCAGACTGGGCTCCTGACTTAACCTGTAACAACGCGCTGGACTAGTCCCTTACACAGATGGCCCAGGCTGTGTGCTCGTGGAGCATGCTGTCTGTAATGAGTTTCATGACACTGCCAGTCCCCAAGGGATGCTCAGTGATTCGCAACTCTGCTGCATATTAAAATCACTTAGAGGATTTAAAAACATTTATGCCCAAGGACCTACCCCAGATATTCCGACTTAATTAGTTGAAAGCGGGGCCTGGGCAGTTTTCAAAGCTTCCCCAAATTATTCTAAAATGAAACCAGGGTTCAGAGCACTCAATGAAGAAGTCAAATATTAGTATCTGTGCTTTTAGTTGGGAATGAAGAGTGAGAAGATTTGAGTCTGAAGTAATTCTTGCCTTCCCTCCCCAACCCCCATCAGGAGGGGCAGCTTCCTAGAGGAGATGACAAGTCATTTAGATTGACAGGTGTGGGACTGTCTGCCCGGCCTGCACCCTCTTCTTTAAGAACTGTCATCCCTACCAGCCCCTGCGTAGGTTGCTCCCTTCTTCCATGTTGGAGTCAAAACACCCCACCTGTCCCTGCCACAGCCGATTGGACATAGGTTGGATTCCTGACCTGGTTTGAATGGATTCACTCTCTTCTGAGACTCAGAGCCAGTCACTGGTTGGTCCCCCTGTGGACTGGGGCACTGGGGTAGTGGTTTAAGTCTATGTATGCTAATAAGGAAGCAGATGGAGGCAGGCTGCCAGGAGAGACCGAGTGATAGAGCATGCCCACAGAGAAGGGGACATGCGGGAGGGCCACCAGGTCACAGATGCCTTCTCAGGCCTAGGCCCACCTCCTTGTGGGACCAAGCTTCACTTCCTGCCCTGGGATTCCAGGAGATACCTCTGTACCCTCTTAATCCTCTTTACTTGACCCGGCTGTAATTGGCCTACTCGGGACACTCATGATACCACTGAAGAGTTTTGGACACTGAGCCCAACGTCGCTGGCTTAACGATGAGATCTAACTGAGTGTTTCTGGATGTCGAATAGAAAAAACAAACACGGATGGAACTTGCAAACTAAATACTTATTTACTGTCAGTCACTCAATCCTTATTGAGCACAGCTGAATGCGGGGCCTTGCGTTTCGCTCTAGGGGGTAGACAGAGATGACTCAGACTTGGATCCTGCCTTCAGGAACCTGACCACCAACAGGGAAACTAAGAGGCACTCACAGAGTACAAGGGAGGCAGTGATAAGAGCCTAAAGAGAGGGCAAAGTACTTTAGGCATTCAGACTGGGGGAATCAAGGAAGCTTCGTGGCAAAAAAAAGAAAAAGAAAAGAAGCATTTACACTAGCTTGCAGGGGTGGGTGAGATTAAGATATATGAAGATGGAGGGGAAAAGGCACTGTAGAGGAAGGAAGCCACGTGAGCCAGGCCGGGAGGTAGAGGAGCATGGTGGAAAAAGAGGCTGTGAGGCTGCGAAGCACAGTGTCAGGACTTAGGAAGCCCCGGAACAAGGCTGAGGTAGCTCGGAAGGTCCCTGCGTTTTGAGATGCCTGGTCTCACTGTCCCCTAGTTGCTGACAGACCCCTTAGCAGCTACTCTTTATGTTTTCACAGGATGCGACAGTTGGCAACACATTCTCTTTTTTTGTATTTTGTATCATTCTCATGTGTATTATCTCACTCATACTAAGGCCTTATGGTGAATTAACTGGCACCATGAAGTATCTGATCTTCAGAGAAGGGGCAAGGCTTACTCCAGAGGAATGAACCTCAAATAGCATTTCAAACCTTCAGGAAGGAAGGATTTTTGGTCAGCACTTGAGGTTCCTGGGCCTCTAAAATTTCTCCTCCTGGGAAGAGGTTTGTGCCTACCTGGCTGCCAGGATCCTCCTCCTGATCTCCCTTGACGTCTGGAGCAGGCGCTGGTGTGACCGTGACTGCAGGGAGCTTGGCTGGCTCCTCCTCTTTAAAGGATAAACATGGGACAGGTTAGAAGCATGTACCAGGTTCTGAGGGCAGCTGGCAAGGCTGGTGTGAGTGGCTACAGGGCTACTGGACTTGTCCCCTTCAGGGTCTCAGTAGGTTTGTTTGGGGAATTTCTTGTTAAAAGGAAAGTAAAATTATGTGATGTGAATTGCTATTGTCCTGTCCATAGAGATGTCTACAGATGAGAGAACAGCTGGGAAATTTCTCTCCCTGGATGCACAAATATTTCCATCCTGGCCAGGTAGCCAAGAATACTGTGAACAGCCTGAGAGAGAGGGCAAAGCCCCAGCCCTCAGGGCCTGACCCTTCCCACCACCAACTGCAAGGAGAGGAGCCGAGATTTCAAAGGCAGCAGCTGGGGAGCCTTGGAATTGGATTGCGGGGAAGGGAGACTTGGAAAGCCTGGAGATCTGGTTTTAGGTACAGGCTATCTCTTGGCTGTGTGGCTTTAGGAAAGTCACTTGACCTCTCTGAGCCTCAGTTTCCTTGTCTACAGAATGGGAACAATGACTGCTAGTCCACTCCCTCTGGGGGTTGCCGGGTGGATCAAGCAGGCCTGGGGTGCTGTGCTGAGTCCACAGGGCAGTAGCTGTCTCACTCCCCGATCCCAGCTGCCACACAGATGCTGGGCGTCTATGTCACCAAGCCCCTTGATGGCCTTCCCTCACTGGGGTTGCTGCTCTCAGACCAATCCCTAGCAGCACTGTCTGTGTGTAGAAGTGACGGGAAGAAGAAACAGCCCAACAGAATCTCACGTGGGACAAGATTTAGCAAAAAAGAAGTAGATGTTCAACAACCCCCGGGCCAGGCCTTGCCTACCCCGTCTGAGGAGAGCGTGGAGGGAGCTGCAGCCAGGCCAGGAAGGGAGCACCCTGAAGGAGGAGGCCGGAGTACAGCGGAGGGCAGGGCAGCACCAGCTCAGCATTCCAGCTGACTGGCTCAGAGTGGCCAAGGGGCGCGCCTCAGTCCCTGCCTCACGGGAGGGAGGAAGGGGGCAGGAGAAAAAATACTGGTCCAACTATCCTCTCACCTGGTTTGTTCTCTGCTTTGGCCTGAGGCTTGGCTTTGGCCTCCTGATTTGAGCTCTCCTCTCTTTGTCCTTGGAGGACTGGGCTGCGAATGAGAAAGGAAACACATCTTATCCAGGACTACAGCGTCCCTGCTGCCCTCTATAGTTAGGCTAGTCAGCTGACAGCCAGAGTAGCTGCGGTGGGTGGAAAGAGGCTGGCCTGCAGGTTGCAAGGTCTGGACTCTGGTCCTACTAGGCTTACTCATGGTGCCCCATTCCCAAACTTTTACCTTAAATTCCCTACACTGTCACTAACTGGCTGTGACCTTGAGCAAGTCACTTCCCTTCTGTATCGCTTCTGGTAAAATGACAACATGGCTGGACTTGCGGACAACAAATAGGATTTATTTCCTTTATGAACCCAAGTGATGGCTGCTTGGGTGCTGAGTTGGGAATTCTGATCCAAGCTTGCTAGGAGAGTACTGTAATTCATCGATGATGTCTATGGTTGGCAGGGAATGAAGAAATAATGGCAAGGAGACATTTTTGCCGTCCTTGGACTAGACTGTCTATAAGGTCCTCTGCAGGTTACTTTCTATGAATTTACTAGAAGCTTTTCTATGGCTCGAGGGGCTCAACTGGTGACCATGTTCATGAGCCTTCCCTCCCCAGTGGGGAAGGGCAAACAGCCGATCACCAAGCTTCCTACCACAGCCCTTTTGGCCCCTGAGCCCGGAGCCCGAGCAGGGCCTCTTTGCAGACCCCTGCTCACGCTGCGTGCCTTGCTGGCGGTCCACAGAGCATCGAGCACAGAACAGTACTGCCCTGGTTTCCAGTCAAGAAAAATGGGGAAGGCAATTCTCTTTCAATGTGACTATGTTCCAGGCAACATGCCGAGTGTGTTATGTAATTTCAAGGTGGGAGGCAGAGAGACTGAGGGGCAGGGGCTCATGAGGGCCCTCTGCGCAGCTGTGTAATCCGGGAGGGTGAGGACAATGGCACACGTGATAGAACAAAGTGGCGCCATGGGGTCTATTCCAGATTCCAGGCTGGCTCTGCCCTGCGAGTGTTAGGTGACCCTGGGGAGCCTGTGTGCCCCTCCAAGCCTCAGTGTTCCCTCTCCAAAAAGGCAACAATATGATATACTCAGAGCACTGATGAGGGGGTCCATGAGACGAAATAAATAAAAATACTTAAACTGCTGCAGGTAACATTGTCATGCTTGCTTGGATTCTGGAGCCAGCAGCCTGGGTTTGAATTCTCGTTCTGCCACTCGCTAGCTGTGGACATAGCTGGGTGATCCTTTATACCTCAATTCTTCACCTGTAAAAATCTTACAGAGTTGTTAAAGGAATAAGTGAACTTCTATATGAACATGCTTAAGCCACTGCCTGGCACCTAGAAAGCACTACGTGAGTTTTAGCTATGACAACAACAATGAACTGGCAGCAGCAGCTGGGAGCAGCTGTCCCACCCAGGAAGCAACTCCGCACTGCTGAGGCCCAGCACTCCGGAGGGTCTGAGTTAGAAAGGACGCTCAGTTTCCTCTGGTCCCTAATGCAGGCACACTGCGAAGGTCTGGGAATCCGGGCAGATCAAACGCTGCCTGGGTCCTGGATGGGGAGGACACATAAGTAGGTCTGGGATTTCCTCCTGTCAACCTGTCTCCTAAACAATCAGGTTGCTTCAGCTGCAGCCGTCTCTGGCAGTCGGCTCCATCCTGCAGATCCATCACGCTGGCATGTGTGGTCCCTCGCAGTGTCCTGAAGGGCCTGCTCAGAGGGTCCTCGCCAGGGCTGAGGGGTCAGGAGGCACGCACTCCGCTGCCTCCACCACCCAGACCGCTCCAGCGCCCCCCTGGTACTGATAAGCACTGCAGTTTGCTGCTGAGCAACACGTAGCTCTGATCAATGGAGGGCTCTCCTGGTTCCAGGCCTGGTGCTGAGAATATCTGCTGACCGTAGGCAGGAGGGGCTGGCGAGAAATCCAAGCTCCCCTCTTTCCTTCTCATCACTCATCACACACCTTAACCTCTCATCTCCCATGCCACTGAGGAAGCCATGTCAGCAGCAGGTTCTCTCTTTCTCTCTGTCTCCGTCTCTCTCTCTCTCACACACACATACGTCCAAGTGAAATCACCAGAAGAGGCATGGGATTCTAATGGGATTCTGGAGAGGTAAAGCCACTTCCCAGGGCAAGAGTTCAGACCACGGATCAGCTCTGTGGAAAGAGTTGGAACCCTTGGAAAGGGTGGGAACACCTGGACAGCCATTTGGAAACAGCAGATGGAAACAGAAGCGTGTATCTGGAATGTGTTGGGAACCAAGGTCTTCATCCCAGCCCTGCGCGGTCGCAGCCCCTCCTGGATTCTCGGGGTGCAGAATCAGGGCCGGCTTCTCTGAGCAGGACGCGTCCCAGGCATGTTGGCAGTCGTTCCCCGAGAGGGCCATTCATGCCCCTCGCACACCCACACCGTGTACCAGGCATGCCGTCTTCCCGGGACGCCTGTCACTGGCTCCCCCGCGCTTGTCTCCTCACGTGGCCAGATCATCTCCTTAGTGTCAATCTCCTCTGACCTCGGCCTGGCCTGGACACCACATAATCCTGTCAGGACAAGTAGGCCAGAGGGCAGCTGCTGGTTGTGAAAGTGGCCCAGGCAGGGGGCCCTGCAGTCCTTCTCAGGACAAGGTCCTTTTCTTCAGGACTTTGCTAGAGTCGGTGACTCCAGGAGGACGGCCAAGCATAAGCCAGGGACACGGCTTCTTCCACGGCACGCAGGCCGGCACAGGCCCGCACTGATCGCCCACGGCTGCCCCGTGCTGCAGGCTCCACTCTTGAGACCCCGGGGGTGCTGTTTTACTAGAGCTGGTGCTTGGGGGTGGCCTCTCCCACTGTCTACTCAGGATCCCTGTGAGGATCTTCTGGGGGAAGTCTGATCACTGAATCTGCTTTTCACAGTACAATGTGCTTGTTTTAAGCAACCAAAAGTCCACGTTGCATGTGAAAAAGACACTTCAGGGTCTGAGAAATTCTGAGGCCCTCAGAATTTGTCCCTGAACCAGAATAGTCAGTCAGGGAGCTCCCTGGGGCTCAGGGGCCAGTCTCTGGTGTCACATCCAGCTCGCCCTCAGACTCCTGCCCCACTGCACTCCAAATCCCTGCTTCTGCCCAAAGGCCAGCCTTTCCTTGACGGCCCTCCTGCCGGGCCTCCCACTTCTGCACCAGTGTCCCAGAGACAAAGTGCCAAGGAGAACAGGAGTGCACCTGAGGATGCCCTTGAGGGGCCTGTGAAGCGTGTTGGGAGCAGCTCTCTGGGGAAGCGGGACAGAAAGCAGGACTCGGTCAGGTGGGTGGTGAATCTCAGCTGCCTCCATCATCTGTCAAGTTGCCGGAGCTGAATATAGAGCAAAGGGAGGTGCCACTCAGAGCTTCCAGCTGTGGGGCCCTACAGGAGGTGCCCCCAGAAGTGGCCCTGGCCTGAGCCACGCTGTCTGGCTGGAGACCCTGTGGGACAGTGGGGCTGACTTATGGGAGGGGAGAGGGCGGCTTTGCAGGGAAGTCACTGAGGGCAGCCCTAACACAGAACAGTGCCAGACGCATGGCACTCATGGCCTCACTACAGGTGATCTCTTGTTTTACAGGAGGGACAGGGAGCCAGGGAGGCAGTGGGATGGAGATACTTAACGACCGTGGCTCCTCAGGGGCCCTCTCCCGGTGAGCCTCCCCACACTGTCTGTCTTTCTCACCCACTCTATTCTGCTAACTCTCTTCCCATTCCAACCCTCACTCCATCTGTTGCCTCTCAGTTTTGCAGGTCCCAGTTCTCATCCAGCTGCAGGAGGGAAGGAGTGGACGGGGAGACCACGCTGGTCTGGGGGGGCCTTGCTTACCTTCCCCCAGAGGGTCCAGGCTGTGGAGCATGAGCTGGTAGATGGTGCTGCGGATGGTGCTGTTATGCAGAGAGGCCGAGCTGCTCCCTCGGGTCAGCACTGATGGGAGCTGAGCAGGAGAGAGCCGCACAGGCCTCAGTGGGCCCCTGACCAAGCCAGGGGAGGGGCCACACGGGGGCCTAACCCTGCCTCCCTCCCGCCGAGATCAGGCCAGAAGCACGGGACCCTTTTCCTGGCCTCCCCTCTTCCTTGCCTCCCCTCTTCCTTCACCTCAACCAGGAAACTTACACTGCTTTCTTTCTCAGCCTCCCCTCAACTCTTCCATGATTGGCTAACTCTGTGCACTAAGTAGTTCCCCAAGCTCCTGACAGGGCGCAGTGTGTACTAAGGATATCATATTACCAAGGGTTCATCCATCCCTGCAAGTACACCCTCAAAGAAACACACACTCAGCCACACACCTCACAGACCCACTGTGCGTGGGCACAGCCCCCTACAGTCCACAAAGAACATCAGCTTTATCACTGTGCTGTCCCCAGAGATAAGCAAGGCTTTGACCTCCACCTACAGATAAAGAGGACTCAACGAGGCTGTGTCTTAGCCAAGGTCATGTCGGGCATGAATGAAAGAGTCAAGACCAGCACCCCGGTCTTCTGATCGTCCTTTCTTTTCTATCCATGTGCTCAAGAAAGCCTTCACAGGAACACACGTGCACACATCTGTGTGTACAGACACAGATGTGACACATACTCATTCATAGTTTTAAAAAGGAGACAATAGGCCCAAAATAGAGTCACCTGTGCTCAGCCCCTATCACCAGACCAAGACGTACAATACCTAACTGCAGTTTCAGCCTCTCCTGGGAATGTCACCTTAACCCATCAGTCTGAAGTCACCTGGTCGACACTAGTGAGGCAACGCACCGGGAAGACCCCTGCTGTCCCCGAAAGGAAGGGGACCTCGTCTAAACAACCTGAATGAATCGTTGAATAAAGCCAATTTGATCTTTAAATTTACTCAGTTGAATTTTGTTTTTTAACAGTAGTGACACGCATAGAAACACCATCTGATTTACGAGGGGACATCCAAACAGACAAGCCGCTTGCTCTGTCTCCCCCTCCTACCCCACAAACCCTCTGATCTGAACTCTTCTGCCATCTAGTGGCCATGATAGCAACTACTTCACAACAGGCCTAGGGATTTTCGTTCGATGGGCGAGGTTTCATTCAGGTCCCAGCCTTTCCTCTCTGAAGTCCCCATACTTCTTCCCAGGGGCCCCATGAGCCAAAGGCAGCTAAGACACAGGTTTTCAGAAACCTCAGATTCCCACCTCTCACCCCACCATGCCCTTCGGATGTTTCTCTTAGTTCTGCGGCATTCCAAAGCCACAAGTAACTGGGCTTTTAGATCAATCACAGAAGGCTGGCGCCACGAAGTGGGACTTGAGTTCATCTAGTCCAGTCATTTTACTGATGCAGAATCTGAGGCCCAAGCTCATACAGCAAGCTAGTGGCAGAGTGAGAAGTGGCATTCTGGACTTAGCTCCCAAACTGGTGCCTCCTCCAAGGCCACCTGGAGGTGATGGTCACTCTGGCAGCACTCCCAGGAGCTTCCCAGGCCAGAGCTCAGTCTAGGATCCCCAACATCAGGGCCACAGTGCCCCGGGTCTGTGGCCGTCCTCTGAGACCCTGCAGTGTCCCCGCTGGGCAGACTCCACATGGTACCCACCTTCAGCTTCTTGTTATCCTTCTGCTCATCCACCACAACTGCCTCATCGCCCGGCTGCAAGCAAGGACAGGAATCACGAAGTGCTTAGAGAGACCCTCACCCTTTCTCCCTACTTCCCTCTCTCTCCAGGGAGCCCTCATGCTGGAACACAGAAACACACCCAGAGATAACCTGGTTTCAGAAACATGTCCAAATCCCCAGCCTGGCCTTCCATAGTCTGGCTTCAACAGGCACACAGTATTTCCAGTCAAATATGCCCACTCATCAAGGTCCAGTAACACCAGCTACAGATGCCTTTCAGTCCCTCAAATGTATCATCCTCTTTACCCACCTCAAAACCCTCCCCACAGGGTCCCACCTCCTCTGTTTGAAATCTTCTTTCTTCCACTCCCCACATCTCAGGTCTCCACTTACATGTCAGCCTCCTCTGGGAAGCTAAGGTGTCCATCTAACTCTCTTTTACGGACTCCTGTTCTTTCCTTCATAGCACTCTCCCCAATTTATTTGTATGTCATTTGTACGTTGGCAAACACATAAAATGACTGCCCGCTAGCACCATGAAGGTGGACTGTCGTTTCACTCACGACTGTGTGTCAAGCATGAGAACTCTGCCTGGCACTTAGCAAAGGTTCAAAAAATACTGGTTAATGAATGAACGAATGAATGGGTGAACAGTCTCCTACGTATCCCTAATCTATTCCAACCCCTGGTCCCTTGCTCACACCTTTCCCCTCTGCCTAAAATTCCTTCTCCATTCCTCTATGCCTACCAATTTTTCAGAAAATCCAGGGTGAATTCTTATATAAAGCTTTCTAAATGGCCCCTTTCGCCCCAACCCTGGCCCTAACTCCCACTCTCTCTGATACCTCTCTCCTCGAAAGCTGTGTAACAGTGGACATGGTTTGTGACACTAGTATCTGGCCCTGTAATCAAGTAAGTGCTAGTGTTCTGGGGAGGCTGTGGGGCGGCCAGCTGGGGAAGGGGACAGTCCTAGAAAAGCCAAGATGAAGAATCATTAAGCCCTCAGTACTTACTGTCTGGACCACTAGCTTGCTGCTTTGCATTTACTGTCTTGTAATACCACACGAACTTTAAAAAAAATCATTGTTGTTCACATATATTAGTTGTCTACCTGGCTAGACTCCATATTTTTTGGAACTATTATATAGTCATCTCTGTTCCCATAACCTGTGGCATGGTGTCTTGTACACCATAGATGCTCAGCAAAAGAGAGGTGAAGGAACAGATTCACCCAAGCGACCTCTAGGGCCATCTTCAGACAGCGGGGTCCCTAATGGATGCCTCCAGTAATTGTCTTTACCTTCCCACTCCCCCTGCCCCACCAACCTCCATGGCCAGAACTAGAACTGGACTTGACACACTCCCTTCTCTGTCTGATCAGAAAATACAGAAAATACTGCCTGATCCTGGGCCATCTACCCATCCATCCACCCAATTTGTTCATTCACTCAGTTCTCATTTCCTGAGAACCTGCTGTTTACCTGGCATGGTGCCAGTGCTACAGGGACGCAGAGATGTTTAGGACATGGATCCTATTTACAGAAAGGAATAGAGACCAGCAATAACACCAACACATGACAAGGCAGAACGTGCCTGAAGAAATGGGAGGCATAGACAAAGGTGCTGTGCTGGAATAGACACGGAAGCCTTCTGAAAGTAGGTGGCATTTGGGTAATCTCTGAAAGCCGGGAGAGATCTGAGTGCTTGGACACACCATGTTGAATGAATGAATGAATGAGCACACAAACAAATGAAACAAAGCAGAAATAACCAGTCTGAATATGAAAGGGGCACTGTGGATTTTCCTCACAAGTCCCCTCTTTCACCACGCACCTGTAAGTTTACTGAGATACTGCATGCTACAGCCCTAAACCCCGCTGGCCCAGCCGTCTCACTACTTACCATGTCCAACTCTCACCCAATGTGTTCTTCTTGGAGGCAAAGAGCTACGAGAGGCCAGGCTGCTCTTTGGGGTGGCTGGTTCTGTCCACAAAGGGGCAGGAGAGACTGACTTTTGCCCCATGAAGCACACACTTAGTGATTTATCTGCAATTCAGACTTACTTAATTCAAAATACTTCTCCATGGGCTCACTGTTCACTGCACATACAAATGTCTTCTAACATCAGTGTGCACTTCTAACCTTCTGAAGCCCTTCACGTCCATTTTCTCACTCAATACTACCAACTCCGTGAAATAGACAAAGCTAATATTATTACTGCTATTTTGGGAGATCACAAAACTGAGAGGCAGAAAGATCCTGTAACTTGCCCACACTCACAGAACCCCGATTTCCTAACCTCCATTCAGAGGTCTGTTTTTACTAACTCACACTTCTTTTCCCAAGCAAAAATAAAGAAAATGAGTCAAATTTATACCCCCTGGTGGCTCTGTTTCAAATTATTGACACTTCAGGTAAAAGGATGTAATTGTTTGTCTGCGTGTGAACGTGACTGATGGATCCACTGATGGGCAGCAGTCCCATAAGTAGGTGCTTTCAGAATACGGCCTTATCACAAACACATCCCCATACCCACCTCTCACACCACACCATTTGTTCTCCGCTTTCTCAGCCCCACCACCCCTGCCTCTTCCTTCTCCTCATGAAGATTAACCAAGGGGCTGAGGAAACCAAAGAAGATGTCTTCATGCCAGCCAAGGTGAGGGCGAGCGACGGGATCCCTGCAGCCATTCCTCGGAAGCTGGGCGGGGAGGGCACACAGGGCAGCCCCTCAAGGGGCTTGTCCTCCTGACCCCCAATTCCTATCTCCCACTGATGTAGCAGTTAATCACTGACCTCTCCCTTTCTAGACTATCCCACATTTCCTGATGACACATTTTAACTTGTGATTTAAAAAAAAAATCCATTCAACAAAGATTTACCGAATCCCTGGTCTGAGTCCTACCTTTACCCACCTGAGTACAGTCTTGCACCCCAATCAGCTCATTTGTGTAGGCTAGACCCAAAAGTCTACCCAAATTCCTCCCCACTCCCTCACAGCTCACGTTCAATTAGCTGTCAGACCTAGTTCCTGTAAGTCCTCACACCTGGCCTCATCTCTCCAGTCTCCTGCCTACAATCCTGCAACAGCCTCCTGACTCCTGATCTGTTCCTCTTCTGGTTCATTCTTCACCCGTCAGCCAGAGTGACTTTCTGAGCAAAGCACATCATGTCCCTCCCAGCACTGGGGGCTCAGTGTCCCCAGGAGGGAGTCCAGACTCGTCAGCCGAGCACACACCAGCCTCCTGCCTACCTCCAGTCCAATGCTGTCCAACAGCAATAGAATGCAAGCCACGTACATAATTTTAATTTTTTAGTAGCCACAGTTTTTAAAAAAGTAAGAGACAGGTGAAATTAATTTTAATAATGTACTATATTTAACCCAATATATCAAAGTTATAATTCAACATGTAATTAACATGATAATATTTGTAAGCTCTTTTACCTTTTTTTCATACTAAGATTTTGAAACCCAAAGTATATTTCATACTTCCAGCACCTCTCAATTCAGACTAGCCCCATTTCATGAGCTCGGGAGCTGTCTGTCACTAGTGGCTACCACACTGGACAGTGCAGCTGCACTGTCTCTCCTCACACTTTCTCACTCCCTTGGCCATTACACATGCATGCCTAGGGTTCTCCCACCCCTTCTTCAGTTAGCTAACCCCTGCTTGTCCTTCAAGATTCAGCTGAGCATCACCTCCCCGGGGAAGCCTTCCCTGACTTCCTGGTCTGTTGAGATGTCCACTCTCCGCAGTACTAAATCCCTCGCCACTTACTTATATCATCACACATGGAATGGTAACTATTAGTTGTACTCGTCTGTCTTCACTACTAAGGAGGATTTACTGCAGGGCTGATGAAGCTTAAACTTCAGGGCCCATCTCTCCCCTACGCAAACCCTTCCCACGGCCTTGGGTTTAATTTTGTAGGAATGTTTTCTATATTCCTTTTCTTAAAGAGTATCAGGCCCCACAAAACCTGGATCAGTTCCTGCTCCTCCACTAGGTTGAGCTCCTGAGGGGCTCAGCCTGTGCCTTATTTCCCACTACGTTCGCAGACCCTACACAGGCCTCATACAAAGAGATTCCATAAATGTTTCCCAAATGAACGAGCATCGGAGTTCTTTAGAACTTAATCCTAAACTATCTCTCTCTCTCTTTCAGAGTAGCATCAGTTGGTCCTTGATTTTAATGACCATATATTTGTTGATGATTCACAAATTTATATTTTCAGCCCTGACCTTTTTTTATGAGCTTTAAGCCCATTTGTGCAACTGCCTCTTAAACATATCCACTTAGAGGTGACATAAACTCACTGTTTCAAAGTGGGAACTTCTGAGTCTCCCTAAACCTGTTCTTCCTATAGTCTTCCCTTTCTCACTACATGGCATCACCATCCACCCTGCTGCTTAAGCCAAAAAACTTTGCCTTCTTTTTTTTCATTTTTTGATTTTTTTAGGAACTGAGGATTGAACCCAGGACCTCGCGCATGCTGAGCACACTCTACCACTAAGCTACACCCACCCACCCCGAAAAACCTTGACTTCTGCTCACTCACCCTCCACATTCACATCATCCCCAAGCCCAGATGATTCTGTCTTCAAAACATCTCTCAAAGATTCATACACACATGCGCTGGATGCCTGCAACAGCCTCCTAAACCGGACTCCAACTCTTTTCTCTAATGCACCAAGCTCTTTCCAAGCTCTGAGCCTTTGCAAATGCTATTTCCCCTTCTGGAATTCTTCCCCACGAAGCATGAGGTGGTTTCCCTTCCCATTCTCCGATGTCTACCTGGGCTCCTCCTCCTCCAAGAGGCCTCTCCTGCTCTCCCTCGCTGAAAAGGGCCCACTTCCTACAGTCACTCTCCAGCACACGCACTGTTTCCTTCACAGCACTTTTTATACTCGGGAATATCTTCTTAATTTATTTCACTTGTTTATCATCCATATGCCCACTCCTTCTCACTGAAACATTTTGTGATAGTTTCATACTTCCAATGTATCCAGGTGGTAGAGCGTCTAGAAATCA